GAAGATGGCTGCCACCATAGCCAGGTAAGTACCTCTGGCGCTCCTCCCCGTTCCTGCCCTTCTTCCTCCTCCGAGTCCTTGCTTCTTCCCCAACAGCACTGCTCCAAGCTAGCACTGCTCCAGCCAGCGCTCCAACCAGTGTGTCGCCAAACTTGCACACCGACAATGAGGCTGGGCTCTTCGCCCGGCCTGGAGATATAGCGGCCTGCTTGCCTCTTGGGCGGTGACTTCCAGGCCGCTCGGCCTTCCCAGCAACCGGTACCTCCTCCCTTTCGGAGGGAAACATCATTGCAGACTCTGATATTGCCCGTACAGGCCCTAGACTGAGACTGGTTGGACTGGTACCCGTGTAGACCTAGCCTACAACTACTGGGCCTCTCAAAATGCCACTTTTGTCTTTTTCTCCTCGGCCTCCAGTACCCGCACATCCACCTCTTCAGGGTGCGGTACCGGCCTACCTGCTACTTGAGTGTTTTCCCCCACTGCAATCCCTCAATGTCACGGCCACAGGTAAGTACCGCCCCTGAGGGCCCAACGAACGAACAAGTGCCCTTACGGGCCACGCACACACTCAAGCCAACCAGCACTCAGACAGACATGCAGTCCAGCAAGCGTGCACACACACAGACTTAGTAGCAAGCAGGAAACTCAGCAAGGCATTCAGTCCATGAGCAAAACTCAGAAATCAGCCGTGTGTTTCAGTCCATGTTTAGTCGGGTCATCACAATAAAGTCAAAGACGACCGCTGGTTCACATGAACAGAACTTCTAGGGACAGCTCCCGATGTAGTTCGAGCCTATGAAAGAGATAGGAAAGGAAAAGGCCCTGCCTTCAATTGAACTGTTCTCGGAGGACCTCAAGTTTAGGCCGGTGGGAGTGAAACGGTTTTCATCTTTGCAGCAACAGATGCAGATCCCAGGGCTTGATCCCTAGATCTCACCTTACCCGTGTACAATATCAAGTCGACCCCTGTGTGTTTTGAACCCGCGACCTGTGTTTTTATAGTTGTCTGTGGTCTGTTTTAGGTCTGTGTAGGTGTCGGGTCTTGATCCGTAGACCTGTCGAAGTAGGGGTCATACCTGTGTAGGGGTCATAGTCCATGCAAGTCTGAAGGGTCAAGGTCGTAGTGGCTACAAGCCGGAAAGGTCAAGGTCGTAGCTGCTACAGTTTCGAAAGGCTGAGTCCACAGACTTCCGGAAGGTCCGGAAGTGGCCTTTCGAGAATTTACCACGTTAGGCCAGAGGTATGTGAGCAAGTAGGCAGTCCAACTTTGTCTAGTCAGCGGTACCCAGTCCCAGCCTTACTTTGTCCAGTCAGCAAGTACCATGAGGGACTGTGTGCACCATGGGCCCGGTGAAAAGGGGCAGACCAGCGGTATACAGAAGTATAAATCAAGAGGCAGTGTCCAGCTATTCATTGATTCCGCGTGAGCCATACGGAAGCGCTGCCCTAGCGTCTGCAGATTGCCCGAAGTCGAAGTGGGCTGAGGCGGAGTTAGAGCAGCCATCGCTGCTTGTAGTAGCCGGCGGCCATAGCTGCCATAGTAGCGATAGGTGTTAGTGAGAGTGGGTGTATGAGTGTGTGATGCAGAGTGTGTGTGCGTGAGATATCCAGGGAGATCCAGAGTTGAGTGCGTGCAAACAGTTGAGTGAATACGGTGTCGGACAAAGGATGTGTGAGCGCCCAGGCGCCATAGCCAGTTGAAAGCAAGTTTGTATCTAAAGTGTGTTCTCGACTTGAATATCTCCGAGCTTTGTGTGGGCGCACAGCGCCAGTGTGAATTGCCCATCTGTTTGCATGAATGCGAAGTGAAGAAGAGAAAGCGTGTAACGAGCGTGAGGCTGAGGGTGAGCCGAGGGAGAGGAGAGAGAGGGAGAGAGGGAGAGCACACACACACACTCACTCACTCCACACGATGGACTCAGACTGAGGATCGGACGCAGACACAGAGGCAAGGCACAAAGTCGAAGTCTTGGATTCCGAATGCCGAAACAGCAAGTCACACTGAGTACGAGTACAGCAGCAGAGAACTGGTACGAGA